AATCGACAATACTTGAGACGAAATTAGTATTTCACACAAACAATCAATGAAGAAAAGGCTAAACAAAACATATAATCAACATAAAATCATACCTCTTTTCCCTTTTGTACAAAAACAGAACCTTTTTCGTAACGTTGTTTTGGAAGGCACACGTACGCAATGTACTAGAGAGCTAAAATAGTGAAGGCCCCTAAATCTACTGCGCATGCCTGTTTCCGTCACGCAACAAATTGATATAAGACGCGTTACATGGCTCCCCTAAATTGTGGGAACAATTTATAAAATGTATCAATATCTAATAAGTCATTCATCGTTCATTACTTAGTGTCTTTCTTTGCTTGTACACGAGCTCAATGAGCGTTATTGTCTCTTTAACGTTGTGGCTCCTTGGTGGGGATTCCCTGGTCTGCAACTCAATCCCTTGGCAGCAATAGAATAACTTTCTGAACAGGCCTTTCGAGATGGACAACAGGTTTCGTGGGTCTGCCTGAGTCATCTAGGGAATCTGTGGCAATAACAACTCTTACTTTCCTGATCAGGCCGTCATCGTTGGGATACGTTTCGTCCACGCGACCAAGTTTCCAGCGGTTCCTTGGCAAACTTTCATCTTTAATGATTACGATGTCATCCACTTGTAAGTTTCTTTGCACTGGAATCCATTTTTGCCTTAGCTGCAGCGACTGCAAGAATTCCTTCTTCCAACGATTCAGGAATTCATTGGCGAGGTACTGGACGTGGCGCCATCGTTTGCTTAGGTAAAGATCCGCCTGTTGGAAATCACCAGGAGGAGGCATGACGACTTTCGACTTCATAGTTAATAGATGGTTAGTAGTGAGCGGCTCAGGACACTGTGAGGAATTGATGGTATCTATCGTGAGTGGTCTGCAATTAACAATTGCTTCAGCCTCTACCATGAAGGTTCTCAAAGACTCGTCATCAAGCTGGGTTCTGTGGCGTTCTAGTATGGATGCTAATACGTTTCTCACTGATCTGATCTGGCGTTCCCACACTCCGCCCATGTAGCTTGCATGTGGAACGTTCACTTTGAACTCTACCCAGTCACAGTTGTTTGTCAGGAGCTCCTCTCTTATCCTATCGTTGTCTATCTCGGAGATGGCTTGCTGCAGTTCGTTCATTGCGCCGATAAAATTCAACCCCTGGTCGGATCGTAATTGCCGTACTGGACCACAACGACCAACAAATCGACGGTAAGCGTTTAAGAAGGAATCAGTGGTCATGGTATTCGAGACTTCAAGATGGATTGCTCTGGAAGACAGACATGTGAAGAGTACTCTGTAGCGTTTTAATTCTCTGCGACCATCTTTGACGTACCACAGACCGAAGTAATCTACTGCAGAGAATGTGAACGGAGGAGCGGGTCCGAGGCGGTCCTCTGGCAAATCTGCCATCTTCTGCTCTTGGGGAATTCCTCTTAACTTCCGGCGCTTCACGCATTTTGCAATGTGGTTAGACACAGCGGATCCTCCACCAATCACCCAGTATCTGGCTGACCTAATTTCGTTATGGGTTATCCCGCGACCTTGATGCTTGACTAACTGATGGTGATGGCAGATGATAAGCTCAATGATGTGTCCTTTCCTGGGAAGGATGATGGGATGTTTCGCACCATATGACAGGCTGGAACGTTTGATTCTTCCGCCCACTCTTAGGACGCCGCTTGCGTCGAGAAATGGATCCAGTTGATAGAGAGAGCTTGCTTTTTTCATAGCCTTGTTTTCGTGTGTGACGGTTCTCTCACCACTTGTTTGCCCTCGGACGTTCGACTCCTTCATTTGACGTATTTCTTCGGGAAAGGCTGCCCTCTGAACCATCTTGATGATCTCGTTCTCAGCATTCTGCAATTCCTCGACATTAGCAGGAATATACTTGCTTGATGTTGAGTCTTTTGGATCTCGTTTAAATTTCTCATCACAAGAGTTTGGACTTCGGAACTTCTCTTGAAGGCGAAGGCAAACTGCGACAGCCCTTTAAACATGGTGCCAACTGGAGAAGTATTCCAGGCGTTCCAGGAAAGACGATGCTTCCTGAACATGTGTTGCTAGAGTGGATACCCTTTTAACTTTGGGGTCTTCAGGGGAAATTGCAGTAGTAACGTCGGTGAGATTCCAATCTTTGGAAAGTTTTCAAAGAAGGTCTGGGCCGTCCCACCACAAACGATTGTCGATCAGTTCTTGCTCGGTCTTCAGGAGGGACAGAGTTGAGCACTTCTCTTCTGTTCAAAACGAATTTGTGCAGGCGGAAGCCTCCCTTCTGGCACAGTGACTTAGTGCTGCTGATAAGACTCTTTGCCTGCTCAACTCTTTGCCTTCCTTACGAAATCGGCAGCTTCCTTTCCACAAACACCTTCATAGTGATTTGCAGTAGTCTTTAACGCAAAGTTAGCGCATCCAGGAGAGGAGGTTGCGCCAAACAGGTGAACAGTCATTCGGTACTCGACTGGATCGCTGTCGAAGTTCTCGTCATCCCACCACAAGAAATGAAGGTAGTCGCGATGGATGCCATCAACCTTTACTTGATGGAACATCGCTTGGATGTCACACATGAGGGCTATTCTTTCCTTTTGGAATCGACATAAGATGCCAGTGAGGTTGTTGGTAAGGTCTGGACCTTGTAGAAGCTGCTGATTGAGTGAGACGCCTTGATACAAAGCGCTGCAGTCGAACATGACTCTCATTTTCCCTGGTTTCTTCTTATGGTGTACTCCGTGATGAGGAATGTACCAGACGTGCTTGTTTTTATCTGAGACTTCTTCCTTAGGGACTTTCTCTGCGAACCCGTTCTTAATGTTCTCTTGCATGAAATTGACATAGTCCTTTCGATATTGAGTATCACTCTTCAACCTTTGCTTCAATTTCATGAGGCGGCTTAACGCCAGTTCCTTATTGTTGGGCAGCTCAACGTTGTTGTTCTTCAAAGGGAGGGGCATCTCATAGTGGCAGTCATCTCTTTGATGAATACCTTCTTGCACTATAGTTAGAAACCTTCTGTCCTCAAAGGAAGGGGATTTCTCTTTGGTTGCATGTTCACTGAAGTCGAGTGTGAACATCTTGGACATTTGGAGTGGACTTAAAACTTCAAGTCTTCCTCCTTGGTCGACTGCAAAGAGGTAATAGGATTGCATGCAATCCTTGCTTCCGTCTTCAGAAATCGGCAGAACTCTTCAAATGGCGGATACTTGGCTTCTCTCGCGAGTAAAGAGTTAACTGCTTTACAAAATTATTTGTTGTTAAATTGTTTAGCAATTTGTATTCTAGTAATCACAATTTATAATTTGAAGAATAAAGTGTGTTAAATGTCATAGGTGTAGATAATGTGTGATAGTTTCCTCATTTTAGACAAACCATGTCACATGCATAACACCTTCAGAAAGTCAATGTTAATCCTTTTGTTTTGTGTGGTTTTGTAGTGATGATCTGTATTAGTTCCTGCAGAAACAGAGAATATTTTCCTTCCAATGAAAGATTGAAATATTTCATTTTGATGTCATCAGTTAGTGCTATAACACTCTGGGAATACAACTGCTGCTTCACTGGCAATTACTTCTTCATGTGTAACAAAGTTTAGACTTGTCATGATTGGCCATGGGTTATTGTAATGAAATAACAAATAACAATTCCTGTTGGAAGTAATATTCAGTGTCTGGATATCTTCTTGATTAAGTTTCATTGGCTGTCTGCTAAACATCAAGGATCTTAGCATGACCTGAAGTGTGTTACCCCTTTTCAGTTGAAAAGCATCACAGTCCTTGATGTAGCCTTTTGCATCCTAATTACCGCTAGGGGCTTAGCTGTATATTTCTTGAATGCACCCTTACTTGGTCTACTCCATGCTTGGAATTTGGATTTACAACTCTTGTTTCTTTCTTCCCTGATCTCTGAAGTAATGTAGTAAAGAAGGGCACTCATGTGTTTGCAAATCTCCCCAAGCTTGCAAAATGCAGCTAAGCCTGTGGTCTTAAGAGTGTTCAGGGTGACAATTGACAGAAATGGTTTATAAAAGTAGCTAATCCTTTGTTCAAAACATTGTCAGCTGTAACCAAAATTTATCAAAGCCAAAATGTTACTCACTATAAAAGAGGTTAACTATCACAATCAATTTGCACACAATGGCAGTACAGATGAAATGCCCTCACCCAGCTACACAAAAACACTTGTTAGTGACAATACCTCCATTGCCTTTCTTTAGGCATACCCACGGTTGGTAAGGCACATTGTTGGTTCTTTCCTGGGGTATGCAGTAGCCATGTGTTAAGTAGTACTTGACATTTGGGCTGATGTTGTGTAACGAGTTTTCCAACAAATGCTGAGGTTCAAGTAGACTGCTCCCTTTGGCTTATGAACCATCAAGTACTGCTTCCTGTTTGCCAGCCTACTTTTACTTTCCTTGGATACAGCAGTTGGAAAAGTCCATTCTCTGACCTTGACCTTCATTACCTCTGCTTTTTTTTGGTTGTATTTTTTTT